CATCACAGTTCTTATCTGACAGCTAAGCCCAAGTCCAGCAGTCATGCTCAGCACCAATGAGTGATCACTTCCCATCTGACAGGAATGTATTTTTCTTGGTTTAAGGAGAGCAAAAACTTAGAACTCTCTGTCAGTTTCCATCTGAGGATCTGATACAAACCCCTTCCCAATCAGAGTCTATTGCAGAGCTTTACCTCTAGTTTCTCCTCTGCTCCAGGAGGGTTCACGTGTTGTACACACAAAGAAATGTGGCACTGTGGCACGCAGCTGGCTAAAAGCACACAGGGCAAGAACACAGGACAGAGCTTTTACTTGGTCTCTATTTCAAACTCTTCCCATTCCTACAAAATCAGAGCAGAATCCCTGATTGCTCAAAGTGGGTGAGTTGTGTTTGTGGAGAAGTAGGCTCCCTTTCTTCCTGAAACCAGAGGGTTTTCTGACCCTTGGGACCTGCTTCAACTCTTTCCTATCTTGAGACTTTTTCGGAGCAAAGAAAAGAAAGAAGGTGAGAGAGATCTACAGACAACACTTCCATTACTACTGAGCAATTTTCCTTTTCAAGTCTTCTCAGCTCTAGTGGTACAATACAATGCCCCAGAATAAATCTAAGGAGCTAAATGTAGCTGCAGTCCTATAGCAATCATCAGAAGCTATAAATTAGAGGTATAAAGGTGTAAAGAGATGTACCTTACCTACTGTAATAGGAAGCTACCTGAAAACTGACATTTAAAGGCACAACAAGTCCCCCTTGTACAGAGAACAGATGCAGAAAAGTAATACAGCACTGAGGAAGTTAAAAACAAATCCTTAGTTTATTGATGCCTGCAGTGGGACAGAAGACAATGCTCTCTGAGTGAGAAAACATCACAAGTACACCTTCCTCTAGTGTCCAGGAACCTTTCCCAAAAATTTCAGTCTTTGAAGAAAGAAAGCCTTGTGGGAGGGATGTGTAAGAGCAATATGGCACAAGAGCTATAGGAACTGCCATGGAGGAAACCCTCAGCTCATACCCAAGGTAAAGAGCATTCAGTAACCACATGCTGGAGGGAAACCAGCTACAGGATTCCCCACGAAGGAGCAGATGGCTAGAATGAACCTTCAACTTTTTCTGTGGCTCTTTATATATTAGTGAGCTCACAGTAAAACAGCTTATATCTATCTGAAGTTTTTCCCCTGCTGTCTCTTTGTTGATGTCAGTGATGTCTTGGAATTTTTGCAAGGTTAAAGAGCGAAAATAATTTGCTCTCCATGAGGAGGGAGATGAAATGAAGACTTCTAACTGCTGATTTCAAAAGACCAAGTAACATTAACTCCGTTTCCATCACATCTCTCAGCAAGTCCAGTGACTTGTGACTTAGTGGATCTCTGTAGAGCAACTGCTGTCCCTACCCAAATCATCCCAGTTGCCGTGAATCAGTCCATAAATCTGTTTTGGCTCTACACTACTCACCAGCTTTTCTCTGCTAATCCTTGGAGAGCTAAGGGGGAACACTTATTCCAAGAGCTGAAATGGATACCAAGAAGTTAAAGCTGGATAATTGGCCACTCAGTTGCCTCCACCAGAGTCCTCCTTCCCTCCAGACACAGCACCCCTCAAGCCCCCATCGCTCCGCCGATGCACTCACCTCACCAAAGAGAAACAGAATTTCTCATTGACTGCTGATGTTATCCATACAGCAAAACCAAGATCAGTACAAATTACACTGCCATAAGAACAGCCAAAAACTGGTGGGTGGCTTTAATTTCCTGGGCACCATCTTCCTAAATCTGAGACCCTTTCACTACTGAAGCTGCCCAAAATAGCCTAAAGCAAAGCAAAAGTGGTTATTTTTGGAAGTGTCTGACAAACATTTAGCTTGGAAGTTCTGTGTGATTTATGCCTGGTGCTGCTTCTCATCCAGAAGGATGGCTGTGTACCAGAAAGGATCATGCCACGGGGCACGAGCGCGGGATCCTGCAAGTGTCAGATGAATGAAGAGCAGCAATTTTCTAAACAGATGGCCTATAACCCACTGACAGGCAATCCTGGTAGAAAGATGCTAGCTAGACTCACTGCCTTGTGAAGCACTTAGGGCCACCAGGGGATGGACCAGAGCCAAGGAAGAGCAGTATTTTTGGGAAAACTAAGAACCTTGGGCCATGTACAACTGAACTTTCAAGCAGTGGAGGACAGCAGAGACTAGAACCTGGACTATGTATTGGGACCCCAGTGCCAAAACTGTTTTGTGAAAGAGACTCGTTAGAGAACAGAGCTGTGGGAATGAACAGTGCTTTGTTTCACAAGTACAGAAAAGGTTTCTTTTGATATGTGAGGAACAAAACTGTGTTTTAGAGAGGCAACAGAAACAGCTACTGCACAGCACTGGGCTGGGAATACAGGCTGTGGAATAAAGATAATGATGGCAAATAGAACAATATTTTTTCAGGCATAAAGGAGGAAGGACATGTTTCCTTTCAGTCACTATTTATGCTGTGAAATTTTATTTGGCAATGCCCATATTTATTTGTCTTTGTCCTCATGAGGCAGAAGAATTGCTACAGGCTGTTCCTCTCCACTCCCACTCGCTGCCACAGTGACCCCTGGCAGGGCCTGGCACAAGTTTGGGTCAGCACAGGGACACAAGAATTCAAGTGCTGTCTGGAAAGGGAGACCTGAGCACCAACAATCCAGACAGAAAATTACAGCATGCTCAGCTGGAAGAAAACCCAAACTCTAACCAGCTGGCTTTGAAGGTAAAGGAGCAGCAAACATCTAAGATAAAAAGCTCTCAAACCCAACATTATTAAAGCAAAGTAAACCAAATTACACATTCAGTATTTCAGTTGCAAAGCTTCAGGCTTTTGAGATTCACTTTTCTTAAAGCTTTAACTCAAACATCTCTTCTGAGAGGCTTCCATTGAGTTCCATTTCCAATGTAATACCTGAAGGATTTACATCCCTTCCATGTTTCCCATCTCAAGTTGCAACTGTGGACTCTTAAGCATTTATCAACAAACCATGAGCCAGCAGAAAGAGTTCCCCTTCATTTGTACAAACAAGATCTTTTTGAGCACAGAACCATCACCTCTATTCCTTCAAAAAAAGGGAAAGAAAGGCAAAGGTTCATCTGCTCTGAGAGACCAGAACCAATTCCTGCCTTGGCCCTGGATCACTTCACACCCAGATGTGGGGAGTACAGAATATGGAGTATTTCAGGAGTCCTAGAAAGCAACATCCAACATCTCATTTGATCCTTGCCCAGAGCCTGCTCTGTGGTTGGCAGTTTCTCCATGCATCAGCTGCTGTTTAAACACATTTTTAACACACGTAAATGCTCAAAGAGCAGCCAGAGTTATAAAAGGCTAAGAAAGCTTTCTCAGAGCGATTGTGAGTTCAGATTAACATAGAACAGATATAAATCCAACTTTCTACTTACCCCTTTAACCTGTTTTTCTCAGAGGTGCCATTAAAAATGGACTCTCAAGGTTTGCTCTGCTTTTTCCCATTACCTAACTTTTGCAGTACAGTATTTGAGCACACTTTAAATCCTAGAGGAAATGCTAAAATAGGCATTTTTATGAAATACATGCAAAGATACGGAGCCTTTCCAAAGCAGACCTTTTAAACAGCCCCAGCATGGTGGTCTGGGATTTGGTTTGGGCTTTTTTTGAGAGAATTGCTTACTAGAAAGCTGCAGTGAGTTAACGCAAATTTCTTACCTGATTGAAAATATCGCCTCGCACAACTTCACAATCAACTCTGTATTTACAGATCAGGCAGGAAGCTGTTGCAAAGGAACCTGAGGGGAAAAACCCATATGGCAGAATAAGGATTTTCAGTCATTCAGATCTGGCCTTTTTGCCCAAGCTGTTGCGACACAAAGGCTGTTATGTTGCAGTGCTATTGGAATCAGGCATTAAAAAGTAATGTGAAATTAAGAACAGATATTTGTAGTACTAGAAGTTGTTCTTCTAGATGTTGGAAAGCAGAAATCTTGTTTTAGGTCTGGTGCTACACCACATGCATGTCAACACAAGTTATACTGTGTGCCATCCTTCCCCCAACCCATGAAGCAAATACAAGAGAGCAGAACCTGTCCTGTTACACAACTAACAGTAGTGCTGCAAACAGCAGCAGCAGCACAGGAACCCACAGCAACTCTGTTAACAAACTGTAGGGCAGATAACTAACAAAATGCATCAGTAAAGACTTCATCAAAATGTGCTTTTGGGGTATTTGTGCTGGTTTTGACTGGGGCAGAGTTAACTTTCTTCCCAGTGGCTAGTGGGGCTATGTTTAGGATTTGTGCAGAACACAGAGTTGATAATGCAGAGATGATTTTGTTGTTGCTGAGCAGAGCTCACACAGAGCCAAGGCCTTTGCTGCTCCTCATTACTGCCAGGCTGGCAAGGGAGTTGGGGGTGCATGGGAGA